TAGCCGGTTGGAACAAGTTAAGTGAGAAGGTGGTGGAGGCCAAAACCGTCAGTAATTTCAAAGCGTTATATGACAAAAAGTGCTGCGAAGACGGGACACCATGAGCGTAGCTCTCATCCTGTAACTACACTTAGGTAATTACCCAGTTAAACATACCCACACTCATCCCACACACATCCCAAACCCCCCATACATACACCCCACACTCACCGACACATGCATCCCACAACCCCCCTTACACACCCTACACACCCCACACACCAGTTGATTGATGGTTGAGAGGAGGGACGAAAGAGTCAAAGCTCAACCATCGTAAGCACAGCTAGGTGAGTACCACACACACAACCACATTCCACACTCGCCCATACACACATCCCAAACCCCCAACACACCCCACACCAACCTACACATACACACACACACCCACCACATCCCAGACAGTCCCTTCGACTCTCTCCATCACCCCCCTACCCTGAAACCAGCCACCTGAACACCTCCCATACCCTGTGCATGGGGCTACTGCTATGGTATGACCCAATACCTGACTGCATTATCCGGCGAAATCTTCAGTTATCCAAATTTCTATTCAGATATAATGAAGTTTTTATACGGCCTCAAAAAAACAGCGTTGAATATAATGAAACACCATTTTCAGGGTGAGCCCCAGAGGCTTGCTGGAGTTATCAAACTGATATATACTATATTAGTCTGTGGCATCAGTGAATTGGAGTTAAGCCTACCGGGTACCACAAGCCAGAACCTGACCCCTCCCCCCCCCCTCAGAGAGGCAAAGGAAGCAATGACCTATGGAAACTTCCATGTATTTGGGGGCATTCCATGTCTGCCAATTACCAGGGTTAGGCACACAAAATGGCAGGCATAACAAAACAGACCCCACAGGGCAAGAAAATTACACCGGAAGACCGAACAGAGTCAGAACTCCCCCAAATCTAAAGAAACAAGCAAACGTCATACACCGCTGCCACGCTGCTTGTCCACACAGCTCTCCCCTCCCTGAGAGGGAAAGGAGGAAGGGGGAAGCCTCAGAATCCCACACACCAGCTACTCACACCTTCAGTTTGGAGGCTGAGCATCAAAACAAAACAAAACAGCCGACCGGAGGGAGGGTGCCAGGGAGCCTCCGGGGTTCTGTGGCCATCCCTATCCACAGAAGCTGAGGAGCGCAGATAACGGCAAAGAGCCGCAACAAGATACAGTACAACACATGATGCACTCCCGGCCTGACCAACCAAGCATCAATGACCCAAGGGCCCTTCCGGAAAGCTGCCATCTCGTTCTTCGCCAGAAAAGAAGGAGACGGCTGCAACCGAACAAACCGACCACCAGGACCGAATGAGCAGAAACCCTTGTGCCGGAAGAGAGAATGAAGCTCACCAACCCGACCGACCACCAGAGGCCAATGCCAACAGAAACAGCGCCTTGGAAAAATAGTCTTGAACCGAAGGGGCCACCGCAAACTTAGGAGAAGAGAAATTAAGAGAGCACACAGTCCAAGGACCAGGACGACTCAGGCAGCGCATAAGTAGGCCGGAGGTGAAACAAAGAACGAGAAAGCTTACTGAATGGGGCGGCAGTGACACACCTACCCCAAACGCAAGCTGGAGCGGCTCCGCCAGCGCCGCATGATAAGAGGCGACAGTATTAGGCATCAAATGACGGTCCAGAAACAGCCAAGAAAGAAAGGACAAAACAACCCAATCAGAAATAGAAGACAACCTATGAAGAGAGAGGAAATGGCGAAAAAATGCCAGGACACTTCATACTGTCGCCGACACAAAGTTTGCAGGTGCGACACCATCAAAGAAGCCACCTGATCACCATACAAGTGGTGATACGCCAGCATCAAAAACACCAGACACGAAGACCATAGGAATAGCGGAACCGCGGAAAAAGCACAGGGTTCAAACACCGAGCAAGCAGCGCCTGAAACCAAGGCTGGGCCGGCCACCAAGGGGCCAGAAGGACTACTCTCCCACAGTAATCTCCAAACGAGCCAGAAGCCGAAGCAACAGCTGGACCGGGGGGAGGTGCAGGTAACCCCACCTCGACCAGTCCTGCTAAAATGCGTCGACTGTGACAGCTCTGCAGTCAGGGAAGGGCACCACATATATCAGGAGATGTCAAGACCACAGCAACACAAAGCGGTCCACCTCCTGGAGTCCACACGTTAGGCAGAGCCAACTGAAGGAGTCGGCATTGACCGACCATTCTGTGGACAGGGAAATGAACTAAGACAACCTGTCTGCCAGGACATTGGAGCTGTACGGATCCCTGAGTGACCCAAACCCTCCAAAGCAGCAGCTAAACCTCCACAAACTCCAAAACCATGCTGTGAGCCCGACGGAAGGAAGGGGCCCACTGCCCCTGGCCAGCCTAGTGAACACTGGTCACAAAGCCCCAACCGAGACCATTGGTGAACACATGGTGAACACAATAGTGTTCACCAATGCCCAACCGAGGCATTGGTGAACACATTAAGCGAGGGCTCTGGTAGGCGCCAAGACACTGAACCCAGAGAAACCTGAAGAGGAAGCCAGCAATGCAGCAACCAACGCAAGGCCCCTTGGAGGCCGAATCCAGCGATCACGAGCGAAGTGGAAGGGACGGCCCCAAAGGAGCCAGAACAGACGCCAAAGCTAGACCCAACACGACGAGTAAACCAGCACAGCGAAGTTCAGACTCCCGCAAACTGCTCAAGCAACTGCCTAGTGACCCAGAACAACCCCTTCCCCCGATACAGCTGAAGGTGGGACCGCAGCCTCAGCAACGCCTCCAGAGGAAGAGACAAGGAAACGGGCCAAGAGTCCCACACGAGACCCAGCCAGGTCCGAACCTGGGATGGAACCAGATGGGACTTCCTCCAGTTCACCAGGAACCCGATCCCGGCAAGCTGGAAATAAACCACACACCTAGCGAGCAGAAAAGCAGGCCAGCTGGGAGCCCACATCAACGCCAGTCATCACGGGGGCCTCATAGCCTGGTGGATAGCGCGCAGGACTCGTAATTCTGTGGCGCGGGTTCGATTCCCGCACGAGGCAGAAACAAATGGGCAAAGTTTCTTTCACCCTAAGTGCCCCTGTTGCCTAGCAGTAAATAGGTACCTGGGAGTTAGTCAGCTGTCACGGGCTGCTTCCTGGGGTGTGTGTGTGTGTGGTGTGGGAAAAAAAAAAAAAAAGTAGTTAGTAAACAGTTGATTGACAGTTGAGAGGTGGGCCGAAAGAGCAAAGCTCAACCCCCGCAAAAACACAACTAGTAAACACGGTAGGCCAGAACTCATACCCCTAGCAGAAGCAGACAGGTCACCATGATCTGGTTAAGACGCGTGAATACGTGAGGTGCCAGATTGAAGCCAAAAGGAAGACAATGAAAGCAGTAAGCCTGCCGCCCCACAATGAAACTTAGCCCATCCCTGAACCCTGGATGAACCGTGACGTTCCAATTCGTGTTCCGGAGGTCCAAAGACACCATCCAAGCTCCCAGCTCCAAATGAAGCCTGACCTGGGACAAAGTGGTCATCCGAAAGGAGGGGCAAGGCATCCAGGAGTTTAGACAGAACATGACGAGAATGAACCTCAGATCCACACAGTCGCGTTTCAGCACTGGAAACAGGCACGCAACCCCGAGGGCCATGGTACTTTCAACCACGCCCTAGCGTACCCACTCCAAGATGACCCACTGGAGTGCAGGGAAAGAAGCCTGACCCGAACCCCCTGAAGGAGGAGATGCCGCCCAGCGCCACCACAGGCTGGAGGACATGACCCAAAATGCCCACAAATCGTGGGGGACCAGGTGTAAGCAAACAGTGTAAGCCTCCCCCCCCCCCCACCATCGCCCCATCAATGGGGCAACCGTGACAGGGCTGACGCCCCTTACGAGAAGCCGGCCGACGAGCAGAGAGCATTACACGGACCAGACGACGCCGGCTCCAAAGGAAGCACTGGCTCAGAAACTGGCACCAACAGCCCACCCAAACCGGAAGAACCCCGAGCCCTAGCACGACCCTTCCAAGAGTAATGTATATAGTGTAATGACAGCAAAAACACTGTTTGATTGATCGTAGAATATACATGGAACATATATGAGCCCCATAATTTTGAGCATAGTTGATGTTCCACACATTGAACTATAAAATTCTATAAATTACACACTTTTGAATAATATTAGAGCAAAAAACTAGATATAAACAACTAGATACTAGATATAAAAAAACTAGACTAATTCACACACTGAAATAATTAAATAAAAATGTATTTGGGGCAGCCCCTGCCACACTCTGCTCTTGGTCGCTAGGCTGACCTTGGATTCTTGTTTTATGTACATAAACTCTCAACATATGATCTTTGTGGGTCATTATGGTGCACAAACATCTAGATAGGTAAATACAGTGTGTGTATGTAGTGTAATAACAGCAAAAACACTGTTTGATTGATCGTAGAATATACACAGAACATATATGAGCCCCATAATTTTAAATATAGCAATGTTCCACACATTGAACTATATAAATTCCACAAATTACGCACTTTTGAATAATATTACAGCACAAAACCAGAGAAGAAATAAAAGAGAAACATCAAAATAATTGTGACAATTTATATTCGCGGTAACTGCGACAGGGTGGCAGGGTCAAGTGACCCCGAGATCTTCATCACTAGACGCCCATAATTTGCTCAACTTCTCAGCTCCATCACGGCTAAAGTATGTTACGTACAATATTTTTTTTTAATTTCCTGTGATCAGAGACTGCACTTTATTAATATAAGCAGATAAAATAATTTGTTGGAACTATATTCTTTTCAGCGCACCACAGGAATGTCATATTTCTAGGCCACACAGCACTGTTGTTGACTTGCCCAACCATTCCTATTTTGCCCGGGAATGGAACTCTTCAATTGTGAGTCAAGAAGGAAGCAAAGTATATTACAATACCCATCACATCCCAACTAATATAACAAATACACAAATATATGTAACCTTACCTCGAATGCAAACCAAGTGTATGGTGATATGACATCATAAAAAAAATCAATTTTCTTGCTGGTCACGGCCGAGGAGCGGGTGGAGAGCATCCTGGTGAGGTTCAAGGCTGCCAGCATACTGGTGCTTACAGATAGTCACGTCGTGCAGGCTGCCAAGATAGTGTATCAGGCAGGCGCCAAATTCAGTAATATAGTGAGCTATCTTCTTTATGAACGCGCAGTTTCTCTGAAGGTTTTCTCTTGCCAATGGCTGTTATATATGCAGGCAAATACAGACAGACTGTCTTAGCGCTTCCTTCTTGATGGTACGTGCAGTTTGCATGAAGGGTTTATTTATCCTCCCGATGACTGCACGAGTACAAATATTTGGAGACGCGTTTATGTTGAGAATGACAAGGTTTCAAAGGTGTTTGTTGCGTTGTGGTGTAGATAGAGGACCGGCGACTAAACAGAGGCGTGTGTTAAAAGAGACTTGCCACACTGCAGGACGGGATGTTGTGTTTACGGCGTCAGCTGATGGTCGAGGGGGGGACTGGTCAAGTCGTATACTGCAATTTCGGATACCGGGCTAGAAACAACTTCGTTCACTGAGAAGTTTGTACATACAGACCATTCCGTTCGTATATGCGCTGGTTTGTGTTCCCTGTTGTTCTCGTCTGAATAAATACATGGCACTTGTTCATATAATTAACGCTTCCATTATTAGAATTATTTATCCATTATTAGAATAACAAGGTGCAAACCATACCCCCTTACAGTTGAAATCATTTTATTTATATACAAGAAGGTACATTGGGTTGCGAGAGTACATAACATATATTAAGAGGTACATTGTAGCAAGATTTGAGATTAAAGGATTTAAAATAAATAAAAAAAAAATATAATGTTTATTTAGGTAAGGTACATACATACAAGAAATTTTTACAAAGATTGGTTGACTTATAGGTAGAGCTAGTACATACAATGCCTAAAGCCACTATATTACGCAAAGCGTTTCGGGCATGATAAACTTAATTGACAAGCTTAATACTAATTGAGCATAATGAGTAGAATGAAAACAAGAAATGAAAACATAGATGAAAAAGCAGCACAAATACAATTATGTCGACAAACAGCGCTCTTTTAAAAAAAAAACATTGGTTGACAATAGAAGGGTAAGGTAGGTTACAGGGAATTTATTAGGTATAGCTTCGTTTTTAACTTAAACTGGTTGAGAGAGATACAGTCTTTAACATGGTTAGGAAGGTCATTCCACATTCTGGGCCCCTTGATTTGTAGAGCATTTCTAGTTTGATTAAGTCGTACTCTAGGAATATCAAAACTGTATTTATTTCTGGTGTGGTGCTCATGGGTTTGTAGCGAGTAGATTATCCAATAATATACTCGCTCCAAATGCATTGTTAATATTCCTGTCAACCTTTGGAGATGAATGAGGTGAGGCGTTGCCCGGGCATATAAGCAGCAGGATAGCAAACATTAAACTGGAGGTCTACTTTCAAGTGTGGTCTAGAACAGACACTTGCGAGATACTGTACCGACGCTCAGTGCGCTCAACTCACACCAAAGTATCACCTGTGTACTTCTGTATATTCGACCAAATATATATATAGTATCTTAGTGTCTGTGTTTATTTGTCACCATACTTTACGTAACACTAGAACCGTTACATTGGTGACCCCAGAGAGTTTCGACGAGACCCAGCCACGATGGACTACAACATGGACTCTCACTGGACCTCCACTGCTGCTGCTTGCTGTGGACCGCAGCCACCTGTCATGGAACGTTGCCAACACCCTTGCCATAGCTATGATTTTCATCGCGATCGTCTCTGCATTTTCATCTACTACGGCTTGCTGCTCCACGATCACTACTCACTCATCTGGCAGCTTCATCAGTAACTACATAATGTGGGATCTACAGCCTGCCCTGCCGACTCTCCGTCGCTGCCAGGGCACTGCTTGTTCTACAGGGGCGCCCACGAAAGCTGCTCTTTCGTCAGATTCATCTACACGTTCACTGCATTTTGATACTCTGCCGACTCAAGCCCATTGCGCAGTACAGGACTTACAGCTTGCGTTTCCGACTCTTCGTCGCCTCCAGGACAATTCAGCTCTAGCAGTGATTCCCTCGTTGTCCTAACTACGTGCCTACATTACCTCCTAATGTCCTGGTGCCCGAGCCCATCCGCCCCGGATCTAAATGCTCCACCAGCGACCCAAGGACGCAACAATTATGCACATTCTTCTCTCCTGCTACACCGAGCTTGTCCACACACTGCCTACATCTTTTGGTACCAGACTACAATTTCCAGTCAACAATGTAGTACTCGTCGTGTACAGTCCTAATCAACCCAAGACGCTACAGCTTCGACACAGAGCAGACAGCAGACTACGACCGCATCGAGCCGCCACACTCTCGCTCCCCGAGTTTAGACACTCACAATTCTCAATCGAGCCGCTACGCTCTCCCACATAGAGCTCCACGACTCCGGCCTCACTCAGCTCTCTGCTCTGCTCCAGGCTTCGTCTCAACGTCTGCGACACTGCTAAATCCAGAGACACATCCGCCGACTACGCAGTTCACTTTTCGACCACAGTTACCAGCAGCACCGCCACCTACGACAACGGACGATCCTGTACGACCTCCCACCCTACAACCCCAGTTACCAGCCGCACCACAACCTGATCCTACGACGACGGACGATCCTGTGCGACCTCCCACCCTACGACCCCAGTTAGATGACATCAGCGAAGAGGAGGAAGTTAACTTTGATGGTTATGTAACGCGAGCAGGGCGTACAATTCACTGACCAGCTAAGTTCCTTGATCAAGTATTTTTCCTTTCATCCCCTGGGAGGGGGAGTTCTGTAGCGAGTAGATTATCCAATAATATACTCGCTCCAAATGCATTGTTAATATTCCTGTCAACCTTTGGAGATGAATGAGGTGAGGCGTTGCCCGGGCATATAAGCAGCAGGATAGCAAACATTAAACTGGAGTCTACTTTCAAGTGTGGTCTAGAGCAGACACTTGCGAGATACTGTACCGACGCTCAGTGCGCTCAACTCACACCAAAGTATCACCTGTGTACTTCTGTATATTCGACCAAATATATATATAGTATCTTAGTGTCTGTGTTTATTTGTCACCATACTTTACGTAACACTAGAACCGTTACATTGGTGACCCCAGAGAGTTTCGACGATACCCAGCCACGATGGACTACAACATGGACTCTCACTGGACCTCCACTGCTGCTGCTTGCTGTGGACCGCAGCCACCTGTCATGGAACGTTGCCAACACCCTTGCCATAGCTATGATTTTCATCGCGATCGTCTCTGCATTTTCATCTACTACGGCTTGCTGCTCCACGATCACTACTCACTCATCTGGCAGCTTCATCAGTAACTACATAATGTGGGATCTACAGCCTGCCCTGCCGACTCTCCGTCGCTGCCAGGGCACTGCTTGTTCTACAGGGGCGCCCACGAAAGCTGCTCTTTCGTCAGATTCATCTACACGTTCACTGCATTTTGATACTCTGCCGACTCAAGCCCATTGCGCAGTACAGGACTTACAGCTTGCGTTTCCGACTCTTCGTCGCCTCCAGGACAATTCAGCTCTAGCAGTGATTCCCTCGTTGTCCTAACTACGTGCCTACATTACCTCCTAATGTCCTGGTGCCCGAGCCCATCCGCCCCGGATCTAAATGCTCCACCAGCGACCCAAGGACGCAACAATTATGCACATTCTTCTCTCCTGCTACACCGAGCTTGTCCACACACTGCCTACATCTTTTGGTACCAGACTACAATTTCCAGTCAACAATGTAGTACTCGGCGTGTACAGTCCTAATCAACCCAAGACGCTACAGCTTCGACACAGAGCAGACAGCAGACTACGACCGCATCGAGCCGCCACACTCTCGCTCCCCGAGTTTAGACACTCACAATTCTCAATCGAGCCGCTACGCTCTCCCACATAGAGCTCCACGACTCCGGCCTCACTCAGCTCTCTGCTCTGCTCCAGGCTTCGTCTCAACGTCTGCGACACTGCTAAATCCAGAGACACATCCGCCGACTACGCAGTTCACTTTTCGACCACAGTTACCAGCAGCACCGCCACCTACGACAACGGACGATCCTGTACGACCTCCCACCCTACAACCCCAGTTACCAGCCGCACCACAACCTGATCCTACGACGACGGACGATCCTGTGCGACCTCCCACCCTACGACCCCAGTTAGATGACATCAGCGAAGAGGAGGAAGTTAACTTTGATGGTTATGTAACGCGAGCAGGGCGTACAATTCACTGACCAGCTAAGTTCCTTGATCAAGTATTTTTCCTTTCATCCCCTGGGAGGGGGAGTTCTGTAGCGAGTAGATTATCCAATAATATACTCGCTCCAAATGCATTGTTAATATTCCTGTCAACCTTTGGAGATGAATGAGGTGAGGCGTTGCCCGGGCATATAAGCAGCAGGATAGCAAACATTAAACTGGAGTCTACTTTCAAGTGTGGTCTAGAGCAGACACTTGCGAGATACTGTACCGACGCTCAGTGCGCTCAACTCACACCAAAGTATCACCTGTGTACTTCTGTATATTCGACCAAATATATATATAGTATCTTAGTGTCTGTGTTTATTTGTCACCATACTTTACGTAACACTAGAACCGTTACATTGGTGTACTTCTGTATATTCGACCAAATATATATATAGTATCTTAGTGTCTGTATTTATTTGTCACCATACTTTACGTAACACTAGAACCGTTACAGGTTCTGTTACATCCTTCTATGGGGTCCATAGAATTACCCAAATAGGCCTAAAACTACCCAAATCGTCCTAGCATTACGTAAGTAATGAAGAAATATGGTATATTTACTTACTATAATGTTGGTGCTACACGTAGAACATGATCAAACCTATTTTTACTCTGAAATAATCTAATTTCATAACGAAATGAGACGTAAATATACGAGAGGTGACGCCATAGGAAGTCGACGGTCCAAGCGACAATTGTGTGGAGCGACTTATCCAAGATATATGGTCGCCTGGAGAGTGTTTGCTGCCATATCAGCCTCCTGTACACAGTGATCCAGTCGTCGTATTTCATGGCTCAAATTGTCGCAAATTTAATTGGTAATATTAACAAGTAGAATGTGTATTTATAATAATATTTTTCATAAACAGCCACAAAATATTTAATATTTATTAAAAAAAAGTGTCTGGAAGTTAAATAAATTCCACATGACAATAAATTTGTTATGTAGCGAGTACATTATCCCAATAATATACTCGCTCCAAATATAGTGTTAATATTCCTGTCAACCTTTGGAGATGAATGAGGTGAGGCGTTGCCCGGGCAACACGGTGAGGTGTTGCCCAAGCAATATAAGCAGCGGTGTAGCGAACATTGGAGAGTCTACTTTCAAGTGTGGTCTAGAGCAGACACTTGCGAGATACTGTACCGACGCTCAGTGCGCTCAACTCACACCAAAGTATCACCGGTGTACTTCTGTATATTCGA